TGTCAAATTATTTCAGCACCTACATATTTTTGGTCTAAAATTGGCTAATTAGAATATTTATAATAAGAGGAACATATGGGCCTTACTTCTCACATAAATAAGAGGCTTTTTTGATAACCTGGTACATAGATGCTTTATTTCTGATGTTAATATGGGTCTGTACTGTACGCAAGATTCATACATGAAACAAAGTTTGTAGTAAAACAAAAAACTAAGCTTAAATCAAGGCATTTGTTGTATATCTTGTCAAAACCTTAAAACAAAAAATGGAGTATTATACATGTATTCAGTTTTCATGCATGTTTGGCTGCTACATGTACAATCTACTTATAAACTGAAAAAAATGCAAATGCACACAACATTCAAAAGATAATAAAAAGATGCCTGACATGTCAAAAAGTAAAACCTTCTTGCTAAAGCAACAAAGAAGCAGTTAACTAGAAGATTCAACCAATACCAACTCAAAATTAATACTACTTATCATAAATCTATTTCAACCATGGTATTGGTGGCTTTGGTGCAACAATTTCTACTAAAAAGTCCATGGAAAAATCCAGCTCCTGGCATGAAAGGATTATAATATCTATTTAATCCTTTATGAATTCATTTTGTACTGCAAGTAGCATTTTGCTTGTGAAATCTATTGCTAATTATAAATACAACAAAACCACCACTGCCAAGGAATTCTAGTTGGCTCCTCCTAATTTGACAAGAATGAGGAATAATCCTGGCACAAAAAGGATTTTCGATTTCTATTTTACAGGATTTTCTGCTGAAGTATTGATTTGATTTGAAAGTTGCTGAAAGTTTGTAATGCTAACAGCAGCTAGGCATTTAAATGCTCATTTAAAATGGGAATGTGGCAGCCCTGAACTGTTTTTAAAAAGTATTCCAATAACCACACAAATTACTTTTCTTGTACCACACACCAGATGTTAAACTTTTGGAGTTACAAACCATTTTCTATCATTTTTGGTATTGCCTGGTAGGATTTTTGCTACATCCTGCATAGCAATGGTTGATCTCATTAACCAGAGAACCAAACATCATTTTTCTTTTGTAATTTTACATACAGTGCATATGATGCTCGCTCTTTCCATCTCTCATAGCAGCAAGCCGATTCTGCTATTATCTATAGCAGCACACCCGGGAGTGGAGAGGAAGAGAGTGTCTGAATTATAAATAGCTACAACTACAGTATACAATTCTATTTACCTGTCAGTATTTGTTGATAGCACACCATTATAAATCTGCAAGAAGTTAACTATATAAAATATCTACCACAAAAGCAAACAAGACATTCCTTCAAAACAAAAAAAAAGGAAAAAACCATAAGTGCAAATACCTAAAATAGGCAACTGAAGCAACTGTTGTAACCTGTAAAAGTTTAAATAAGGACAAAGATTTTCATAAATAAAAAAATGCCGACTTCACAAGTTTAGTGTATATATGGTCAAACTTCTAAGTGCAGATAAGACTGTTTTAAGAATCAAGGTGCCAAGTTCTTTTTTTAAAAACATGTAATAAAATTAATTAATTTCTAGTTTATGTATAGGACCCAAACACTAGGTCATATACTAGGTCTCAAGCTCCCAGTCTAAATATATTAATTAAAACAAGTTATTGGAATCACTGTATAGTGAAGGCATACTTTATAACTACTTTGTAGACCAACATGATTTAAAAGTTATATAGTGCAATCCTTAAGTAGATGTAACGAAGTACAGATTTGTATGCTTTGTAGTATGTAATTTTACTGCTATTCTATACTTCAAAAGTTAAAACTTGTCCTTTACCATTTTTACTGTTATAACAGGAAACAACATTGGCTTCTAGACAACCTGCATATACATAAATATCTATTAAGCTTTAAAAAGGAAAATAAATTATAAACACATACTCCTTTCCAATTTACAAAAGTTTCCCTGTTCCTACCTACTGTACAATACATTCAACAATGGTCTCAGTTTCTGAGACTGAAGAAAATACTGATGCTTTACACTGATGTGAAACTTAATTCACCCTTTTCCTACTCATTTCTAGTACCATTTTCAAATAAATAGTTAACACTGTAGTTAAATTTCATCGTTTGTGCAGCATACCAACAACTAGTAGTGCAACTTTCTATCCTTCCTTCAGGCACCTTTGCGTTGTGTTTCTTTATACGCTAGAAAATTTGCTACAGAAGCAACTGAACACTTAAGCAAAAGCACGTTCATACAGTCACACGTTGTTCATCCAAAAAAGAAATGTTAAGGACCTGTAAACGTACCCTACATCAAAAATGTACTAATAGGAAAGTAGAAATTTAAGTCATTAAGAATAAATATGAAAAATTAAGATAAAAGTGTATGCTGACATTCACTGCAATGTTCTTTACTGTTTTTACATTTTCGTTTTTTGAAATATTAAAAAAATTCATTCTGGCTTATGCTATCCCTTACTTGAAAAGGCCAAAGCTGTGTGTCTGCCCTTTGTCACTTGAAAGAGACTTAAGATTTCCTTTTGAAGTCTCTCTCAAACTAAAGACTTAATTTACATGTATTTTGCTGAAATCTCCTTCAGTATAGAGTTCATTTCATGAGGAAAGAATGGCCGTCAGTTGCAGAAATCATCACAATATTAGAGCCCTTGAAGTGCTACTGGTAGCTGTATACGTGCTCAAATATCTTCTTGCTTGTTCAGTCATGATAAGTTGATCTTCTGTTTTTCCATAAACAACAGCTTCCCATTCACAATTTGACTATATTAAAAAAACAAACAAACAAAAACAAACACACTTTTTTTTTTTTTTTATAAATAGTCAATATGAAATATTTAAGAAAATAGTAATTAGGATTATATTAAAATCAGTTTACATATTAACTTTTAAAAGAGTATATATAATCAAATTCAAATCAGGGCCACATTTATTCTCCAGTACTCTGTATGCAAATTCTGGGATAAAGCTTACCATTTTTATACCTGTAGTGTATATATGCTAGATTCAAAGTTTTAGGGCAAGAGAAAACAAGTAGCAAGAGGTATTTATTGAATAGATTTGCTTCAATAAAGTTTGACTAATACTAAATTCAATGGAATCCCCATTTATCATACTCGGTTCAAGTTTCAGCAGCCAGTAGAATACAGTATTCACATATATCTGGAGAAGCAAGGAAAGTGAAGGCATTTGAAACCCAAAAAGGATGAGGAATACAGTACTTTTACAGAACAAAGCTAGAAAGCTGTAAAGGAAGGGACTGAAGATATAATCTGGGTCTGAGGCAGTGGTGGTGGGCTATCAATACTAAAGTGAAGAATGAAGGAATAACCAGCCCTGCCTTTCCCAAATGATGGCAAATATATATTATTAGACTACATTATGATTTAAATTTAAGTTAACTTAACAAAACAAAAATATCTTGAATCCAGACCTGAAGAGACTTTTCCATTTTGATATTTTTTGAAGTGCAAGCATTCAATTTCTTTTTAATTACTGCATTCACTTTGTTTGCCGAGCTTGTATCCTGCTTCTCCGGCATCAGATTACATCTGTTGTCATGTATTTCCAACAATGGTATCATTAGTAAAGATGTAGTATAGGCATTTTCTGACTAATGTAAAAAAAAAAGACAAAGGAATGGGGTAGAGGAATAACAGTTAATATTCAGTAAAAAAAAACAAACAAACCTTTAACTGTTACAAAGAAGACTGGAAAACAAAAGCGACTACATAGTTGAGAGAATCAAATGAGTCCAAGATATTTGGGGAAAATATATACATATTTCTGAATCCAGCATATTATACACTAGGATCACAGGAAAATAGGACTGGAATTGACCTCTTGAAGCCATCCAGGCCAGACAGCTACTCAGTGCAGGATCATCTCTGACTAAACCACTCAGAAGGCAGGACAGTGTGTGGAACCTTACAGACTACCTTGTTCAGAGAGTCAAGTGTCTGTCTAACCTGCTCTTGAAAGCTTCCAGGGATGGAGATTCCATAACTTTACTACATAGTGGCTAAACATTGCAACAGGCTGAGTCAAACAGTTCTTCCTAATCTCCAATCCTAATTTCCTCTGCTGCACCTTCAGGCCATTGTTCCTAGTTTTGTCCCCAGTTATGGATCCACCTTACAGTACCTTCATCTAGTCTGTATGTCATTAATTAGTAAAGGAAATAATAGAGTAAATGTCATGGGGAACAATGTCAAAAGCCTTACATAAAATCAAGGCACATCACATCCACTATTCATTCACATGTCACCTTACCAAAGGAGGAAATAAAGTTGGTCAGGCATGACTTGCTCCTGTTGGCTGTTCCGTAGTACCTTGTTCTCTTCCAGGTGCTTCAAAACAGATTCCTTGCTGATCCATTCCATAATTGTTCAAAGTAGTAAGGTCAGACTGTCTGCTCTGTAATTACTTGGATGCTCCTTCTTACCTTTCTTAGAGATGGACATAATATTTGCCCTTCAAGTGCAAACTGGGACCTCACCCAGCCTCCATGAGTTCTTAAAAGTTGACAGTCAATGGCTTTGAAATTACCTCTGCCAATTCTTTCAGTACTCGAAGGTAATCCATCCAGCCCTACTGACTTAAAAACATCTCGCTTCTCTAAGTAATCCCCAGCCTGTTCTTCCACTGCTCTTGCCATTTCCCTCCTTCCCTATCTTTCCTACCAACTGCACTTGTCACTTGCCAGTTGACTTTATTTGTGAAGGCTGAAGTTAAAAAAAAAAAAAATGTATTAAATTCTTCAACATTCTCTGCATCGTCACTAACTAGACTGCCTTCTGCATTCCATATGGGACTTACATTTTTTTTTTATCTTCATCTTATTTCTGACATGCTTGTAGAATCCCCTTACTAGAACTACAATCTGATCAAAAATGAGTTGGTAACAATTATGTACTAGCACTAATACCATGCGCCCATTCCCACCTAGAACAATGTCTCCTTGTTTTAATAAAACCATGCTATGACTTCAATTACATTTTCTTTTAAAAATGGGATCTATAAAGCTAATTGATAAATTGTGCCGTAACTAGAAACAGTTATAGAATACAAGCCCTGTCCACACTGACAGGCACTCCAAGGGTGCCTATACATGTGCTCTGACGCATTCTAATTAGAATGCATCAAAGCAGACTTGATTAACCGAGTCTGCTGGACCATTCTATTAACACTCAAGCGTGCCTCACCATCATCTATATTAAGCATCCTGCATTTCAAAATGGCCACAGAGGCACTTTAGATAAAATTTTAATGAGCTTTAGTTAAAGTGCCCCTGTAGCCATTTTGAAACACAGGATGTTTAATACAAGTGATGCTGCAGCGTTTTAATTAGAGCAGCTGTCTAAGAGCCACACTAATAAAAATGTGCCCCCACCATCCCAGAGCACGTGTATAGACACCCTAAAAAGACTAATTCTAAACAATATGATTAAGCTCACTTCTTTGAGTGGAGTTTTTTCAGAAAGATACTGGACTTACAGAATGAAACAAAACCTGCATTTTTCCTCCACTGTGGACCCTCTGTACACTTTCCAAAACATGAACTATCCCCCTTCCCCACAACGACATACCAAAATACACTTGGGCTGTTCCACGTGGCGGGGGCAGCAGGACAGCATGCTTAGAAGAATTTTAAGGCACCAGAAGGTGTTGCAGCACCCTGGTTGAGAATCACTGGTCTAGACTCCCAGAGGCACCTCAGATAGGTCTAAGGTACAAGGCAGCAGCTTGCAGAAATATATCACCTTAGTTCAGGGGTGGGTAATTATTTTGGCTGGAGGACCACTTAATGAATTTTGGTGAGCCATCGAGGGCCATATCGGTAGCCCAGTCCCTTGGCAGTTGCTCCGCCCCCTGGTCACCACATTGGGACCAAAAGTCCTGCCCCCTAACCTTTGCCAGCACAAGTCCTTCCTCTTGCCCCCTGGAAATACCCCTTTTGGCAGGGGAGGGTTGCCATCTGGGAAGCAGAAAAAACCAAGTCACACACTAAAAGTCCAATATCTACCATAGTTTAATTTTATTACAAAAAATATTTGTCATGATTTGTGTTTGTGTACTGTATATAGAGAGCATTGAATAACAACTAAAAAATAAAGTCTTACTCTTGTGTACTATGTGTGTACAGTGAAGTGTGTGGGGAGTATGTGTGCATGGTGGGGTGTGCATGTGTGTATAGTAGGGTGTGGGCGGGGTGGCTGTGTGTGTGGGGGGCATAAGGTATGTTGTGGGGTGTGTGTATATGTGGGGAGTTGTGGGGGATTCCATTACGGGGCAGGGTGTGGGTATGTGAGGTTTGTGGGGTGTGAGGGAGGTTATGGGTATGGGGACCCCCCTCACATATGGTTCACAGTCTCTGCTGCCTCTGCGGGTGCTGGCGCCTCATGGCACATGGCTCCAGCCAGCACTGTGCATGGGGGCAAGAAGCGCAGCCAGCCCAGGCTGCCTATCGCGGGAGGTCTGCATGGCATACCTGCAGCTCCCACACTCGCGCAACACTGGAGGAAGCCCCATGCTGAAGCTGGTTGCCTTCCCCGCCCCCTGCTACAGAAGTCCTGAGACTCCATGGGGAAGCAGGGGCCAGGGCTCCCCTCCACTTCTGGTGGAGTCCTGGAACCTGCATGGCAGGGGGTGGGGAACGCAGCTG